TGCCCAGCCGCCCCCGCAGGGCCATTGTCTGCAGTTCAGCTGGGAAGACCGCTGGGCCGAGGAGGCCACGGTTTCTGTTTGTCCGAGAGGCCTGCGGGCTGGAAGGCAGCGGAGCGGTGTCCCTGGTCTGCGGGCGGCAGGCTCCCCACGGCCCCAGGGAACTTCCCGAGGTCCCCCCGGGGCTGCCATGCCCGGACCTGGGGCTCACTGAGGCTGCCGGGCTCACCCCCGGGACCCTCTTGCTCAGATGCTGGGCCTCCTCCCAGGCTGGGCCCTTCCGTGGAGCTCACGGCTCAGCAAGGCCGCAGGATAGAAGGCAAGAGGCCAGTCCATGGCCGGACGGACGTGGAAACCGAAGTTAGACCCAGGCCGCGTACAATTACTTCACAGAAAACTGCCCCTGTGTGTAAAGTTAGCAAAATGCACAGGGGACTTCAATGCTAAAAACTACACAACAAAAGCCTAAAGGACGGAGGCATACCATGCTCATGGACGGGAGCTTCCGCAGTCAGGACGTCAGTTCTCCCAGTGGACCTGAAGGCCTAACACAATTCCTAACGAGAGGTGTTTGCAGGCACAGACTGGGAGGAAACATTCGCAAACCACACAGCCAGCAAAGCATCGGAGCCTCGAAGCAATAAAGAGGCCTCAAAACTCAACGTAAAGCCCTGGCCGGCTTGGCTCCGTGGATGGTGTGGGCCTGCAGGGGAAGGGTGGAAGGTTCAATTCCCGTCAGGGCACACGCCCAGGTTGGGACTTGATCCCCAGGGGGGGCGTGCAGGAGGCAGCCCATCAATGATTCTCTCTCATCATGGATGTTTCTCTCTCTCTCTCTCCCTTCCTCTCTTAAATCAATAAAAATATATTTTTTTAAAAAGAGGGGGGTAGAAAGAGGCCCCCCAGCCCACAGGCCCCACCTAGGCAGCATCCCTGTGTCCGGGGCAGGTCCCCAGCCCCCAAGCTCTCTTTCATCATTGATGTTTCTATCTCTCTCTTCATCTCCCTTCCTCTCTGAAATCAATATAAAAAATATATATTGAAAAAAACTCAACAGTAAAAACAACAACAAGAAAAGAGTCCAGTTAGAAAATGGGCAGAAGACATGAAGAGAGGTGTCCCTGAAGAGGACATGCAGATGGCACTAGTGAGGCCTGGCTGACATCATTAGCCTTTAGGAAAATGCAAATTAAATCCATGATAAGAATCCACCATAAGACACCACACGCCCTTCAGATTGGCTCAAATAAAAACAGTGACATCAAGTGGCAAGGTCATGGGTAACTGGGTCACTCACGCGTTGCCGATAGGATTGTAAAACATGCCCAGCCCGACTGGTATGCTCAGTGGTTGAGCATCGACCTATGAACCAGGAGGTCACGGCTCGATTCCCGGTCAGGGCACATGCCCAGGTTGTGGGTTCGATCCCCTGTGTGGGCGTGCAGGAGGGGGATTCTCTCTCATCATTGGTGTTTCTATATCTCCCCTCCCTGCCTCTCTGAAATCAATAAAAATATATTTTGAAAGATTTTAAAAGATTGTAAAATGTTACAGCCACTGCGCAAAATAAAACTTGTAAAACTCACAGAATGTGGAAAGGACATTCATTTAGAGACAATAACCTTTTCTACTTTTAGTGAAACTGTTTTATTTAAATCCTGGAGGAGTGGCTTCAACATAAGCGCCTAAGTTGTTCACATTTCGCATCCTGGTCGAGCGCCACTCACCGAAGCCTCACCTGAGCCCAGGTCCGCGTGCACACCTGTGGTCCAGTACATCCTGACGTCTTTTAGTGGCTTTCACATGGAAAACACCTACATCTTGCTTTTCAAATTACATTTCATGGCTTGTTTAAAATAACATTCAGCACGCACCATTATGACTGAGTCGGTTTCCGTTTCTTTACCTCCTTTTTACTGAACCGAATGTAGGCTCCTATCAGCATCCGAAACAGCACAGGTGAGGCTTCTCGGGTTCGTGTCTTCTTCCCTAAACAGTGTGTGCTCGAGAGTAAGCACCTGGGAGCCTCCCTCCGCCCAGCCTGGTGCGAAGGTACCCTCCTTCGCTGAGGGCAATGTCGGGACAGAAATCTCACCTCACGGCCAGGTGGTCCGCCCCGACCTGTTCGTTGCTTATCATCGGCTCTTGTCCAGGGAATGTCAGCTATGTGGGGGCAGGCCCAGGTGTGTCCACACCTGAACCTGGAGCGCCCGTGGCTGCGGCTGAGAATAGCAGTGTAGGGGCGGATGACCTTTCTGCTTGCACCCCTCCCTGCCCCCTTCGCCCCCCGCTGGCCTGCCTGGCAGGTTCTTCACGGGTGACCCACCCCCCTCCCCCACCCACATCCCGGGCCTAACCTTCCGGACCTGATTCTAGAGGCACCCGCCCTCCAGGAGTGCAGGCCTTCACTCATGCCTGCTCGAGCCACCTGCCTCCAGGTCACGCTGCCGGAAGCCCACACTCACACCACCCATGGCGGGGAGCTGAGTGGGCGGGCGGAATCTGGATTCTCAGGCTCCTCGAAGAGGACACGTGACCCCCTCCTTCTCCGAACAGAAGGCCAGTCCGGACATGTCCACGGGAAACAGTGTAGGGGGCTGTCTGAAGGGGGGCTCACTGTGGCCTGCGCTCCCTGCCAGAGGGAAGCCCTTGGGGTTGCCCCTCTCCTCTCTCTGCCTCCAGTCGGGGGAAGGGGGCAGCACAGGGGCTCACATACACCCCAAGGTGTGGCAACAAGTACCCGGGACCCAGGTTGCTGGCCCCTCCCATCGAGGACCCTGTGCTCCCATCCGTCTCTGCTGCTCAGACCCACCGAGCCTGTGAATGCAGAAAAAGCCGGTTTTCTTGCTTTTGTGCGCGTTCACTCCTCTCTCTGCCTCCAGTCGGGGGAAGGGGGCAGCACAGGGGCTCACATACACCCCAAGGTGTGGCAACAAGTACCCGGGACCCAGGTTGCTGGCCCCTCCCATCGAGGACCCTGTGCTCCCATCCGTCTCTGCTGCTCAGACCCACTGAGCCTGTGAATGCAGAAAAAGCCGGTTTTCTTGCTTTTGTGCGCGCGCAAGTGCGTGTGCGTGTGTGTGTGTGTGTGTGGTGTGAGATGAGCATGGTCTGAGGACTATCTGGAGTCCGTGTCTGTGAGGAGAGTGAGGAAGGGGGGAGAGAGGGGTACCGAACGTTTGGGGGTCCTGATGGTCCCCTGTTTGTGTACGTGTCTGGCGTGAGTGGGTAGCTTAGTGTGTGTCTGGGGCCTCCTATGTAAGTCTGTCGGGGTTAATGGCATGTGTGATGTGAGACGGGCCTCTGACTTTCGTGTAAGTGTGGGTGAAATGGTTACCTAATTCTGCCCGAATGGGAAAGACCAGGCACTAATTCTTCGGTGCACGTGTGGGAACCCTGTCCGCTGTGTGTGTGCGTCTGGTGTGAGATGAGTGTGTTCCATCAGAAAGTGACGGGCGTGAGATTTCGCTCCATTGCAAGCAGGGAGGTCGGCGACCACAGTCCCCAGAACACACGAGGCCGGGCCAGAGGTTCTCACAGGGGCAGCCACACCTACACCTGGTCCCTCCGGTCCCTCCGGCTCCGGCCCCAGGGGTATGCGGGTGGCCGTGGCCCTGCACTGGGGGGCGTTTCAGAAGAAGAACCTTGACATTAGGAAACCCACCCATCCGCCTTCTACAGAGAGAAACCTCCTCTTTACTCTGGGTCGTGCCTCCAGGAAGGGGAAGGAGGCGTCTTTTCCTGTCTACCCCGGACCTGACCGTCTGGAGGCAAACATGCTACACGTGGCTGCGAATGACTCTGCTCTGAGGACCGGGACCTGCAGACACAGGGACAGGAGGTATCCATGGACAACTGCTTCCCAATCAGATCTGTGTTTTTATTTTGTTAACCCTCACCCAAGGATACTTTTCCATTTATCTTAATTTAGACAGAGTGGAAGAGGGAGGGAAAGACAGAGAGAAACATTGATGTGAGAGAAACACATCGATTGGTTGCCTCCTGCATACACCCCAACCAGGGCCTGGGCCGGGGAGGAGCCTGCAACTGAGGTACAGGCCCTTGACCGGAACCGAACCCGGGGCCCTTTGGTCTTCAGGCCGACGCTCTGTCCACTGAACCAAACCGGCTAGGGCTGGATCTGTTTTTTAAGAATATTTTGAGCCCAGCCAGTGTGGCTCAGTGGTTGAGTAGCAGCCCATGAACCAGAAGGTCATGGTTCAATTCCCTGTCAGGGCACATGCCCGGGTTGTGGGCTCAATCCCCAATAGGGGGCTCTCAGAAGTCAGCTAATCAATGATTCTTTCGCATCATTGATGTTTCTCTCTCCTCCTCTCCCTTCCTCTCTCTGGAATCAATAAAAACATATTAAAAAATAGAATAATAGCTTTATTGAGATCGAATTCTCATGTCATACAATTCACCCATTTAATGTGTATGGGTCAATAGCTGTTAGTATATTTGCAAATATGTGCAACCATAACTATGACCAATTCTAACACATTTCATCGCCCCCAAAGAAACCTTGTGCCCATTAGCGGCCATGCCCCATTTCCCCCAGCTTTCCAGCTCAGCCCCGCCCCCCCCCACCCCAATCGCTAATCTGCTCACTGTCTCTTTGGATCTTGGATTCTGGACATTTTATATAAGTAGAATCATAATATGTGGTCTTTTGTGCCTGTTTTTCTAATTGGGAAAATTGAGTATAATGTTTTCAAGGCCCATCCATGTTGTAGCATGTATCACTACTTCCTTTCTCTTTTTTTTGCCAGATAATATTTCATTTTATGGACTTACCATATTTTACTTATCTATTCATCACTTGATTGGCATTTGACTTGTTTCCAGCTTGAGGCTACTATGGGTTTTGCTACTATGAACAGTGTCTTGGTTTTGGGGTTGGATGTGTTTTCTTTTCTTAAAAAAAATTTTTTTTTATTGATTTCAGAGAGGGAGGGAGAGATAGAAACATCGATGAGAGAGAATCATTGATCAGCTGCCCGCTGCTTTCCCCCTACTGGGGATTGAGCCCTCCACCCGGGCATGCATTGTCCCGAACCCGTCAGTCTGCAGGTGGACACTCTCTCCACTGAGCAACACCAGCCAGGACTGGACGTATGTTTTCCTTTCTCTTGGCTCTGTACCTTGGAGTGGGACTGCAGGGTTGTACACTAACTTTCTGAGACACTAACCGACTGTTTCCCACAGATGCACCGACCACATCTCCCAGCGGTGCCTGCGGTTCCAGTCTCTCCACACCCCTGGCAACACTTGTCTGCCTGTCTTTTTGGTTACAGCCGTCCCAGTGGGTGTAAAGTGGTATTTCACTGTAGTTTTGATTTGTGTTTCCCTGATGACTATGTTGAGCATTTTTTCATGTGCTTAGTGGCCATTTGTGTATTTTCTGTAGAGAAATATCTATTCAGATGATTTGTTCATTTCTAAATTGTCTTTTTATTGTTGAGTAACAGCTTATAATTATTTATTTTCTTACATATGCTTTATGTGTTCTAGGTACCAATGCCTTGTCAGATAGATGATTTGCAAAATTTTCCTCCCACTCTTTGGGTTGTCTTTTCACTTTATTTTTTTAAAATATATTTTTATTGATTTCAGAGCAGAAGGGAGGAGATATAGAAACATCAATGATGAGAATCATTGATCGGCTGC